CAAAAAAACTGTAGCATCTCCAAAATTGGCCTGAGTGGGAAAAGACAATCATGTGGGTAAGTTTCTGCTTACTTGAAGATTCGGGAATGCAGAGTTCATCCTGCACGCTCAGTATCACATCTTGATCTCCCCCTCTGCACTCATGAACCACAGATTTCTAGCTCATTTTACTTCTATTTTCTAATTTTGATCCCTTGGTATACGTTACAGCCCTATGATGACAAAGATGAATAGAACATGGTTTCTGCTCTGGGGAAAACAAGTTACAAAATAAATACATTAAGTGAAGTGCTATCTAGTGCACTAGCATATCATCTACTGTACTTGTCAGGAACAAAATTAAGTTGTATTTTATTCTTTTATAAGTATCTCCTAAGACTAGAAGACAGAGGTGGGGGTGATAGTAGTTGTGGTGAACAATTAAGTCCTAGTCTTAGCTTTAGATTACTTTTGCAATGCTCGCTTTTACAAGATACTAAGTACATATTGTAAGTATTAAAAATACCCAAGTAACATATTAACATCCCAGTCAAGATAGGGAGAATAGTAAAATGAGCAGTTCATGTTGTTAATCACTTCTTGGACTCTCTTCTACTCTTCTCATTTTCCTGCCTCCTTATTGTTTCACCACCACACACATTGGAGGTATCTACTAGGGAATCTGTCACCTTAGGTTCTGCTTTGTCTACCTTTTCCTTAACTTGGTTTGCAGGATTGTACACTGTTTTTCTCAATTCATCTCCTAAGCTATCTTATTCTTGCTTACTATCTATGAGTATGACTTCAATACCTGTAACTGCAGCTTTGGAGTTCTGCCTGAGCACCAAACCTGTTTCTCAGAATCTTTATCCTACTGCCCACATGAACCTTAAAACTCAGTCTATACAAGGCTAACTGCCTTTTGTCACAAAATTCACCAACTTCCTTCTGTAGTCTCTTACTACCCAATCTTGATTAGAATACCCCAATATACTTGTACGTTCAAGTAGAAACCTGCACACCAGTCTCTATTAATAGGACTCAGCCATGGAGTTCTAGTAATTGTATCTCCTATCTCTCAAGTAGGCCCTTTCTTCTCTACCTTGAACACTATAGCTTTGTTCCAGCTTATTATCTTTCTCCTGTACCAGAGGACCATGGCCCTAATCATATCCCTCACTAAACCTGAAACTCCTTAAGGAAACCCTGTTTACCTCATTTGTAGATTGTGCCTGCCTTTTCCCTCACAATATTCCCACCACAGTGCTTTGCCTGTTTCTTGTATGTGCACAAGGAAGCCCTGGGAAATATGACTGCACAACAACGCATTATCCCAGCCTAAAACCTGTGAGAGATATAATTTCATTTGTTTTACTAGTAGGAAAAAAAGGGACACAGACCGCATTTTAGAAATAGAAGCCACTGTTGTCTTTATAAAACACAGAATTGTGCTGCTGCTGTTGCTTGCTTCAGAAGGAACTGTACATTACAGCTGCTGGGATAATTTCACAATGGACTGGACAAGGTACAGCTCAAAGCAGGACAAAAACACAAATGGAAACAAATGCAACCAAGTACACAGCTGTGGGGCTCCAGGGACATTTCCCCATCCATGCCGGACTTGAAGAGGGATAAAAAGTTTAGAAACTAAAGTGAAACCCAGAGTATCACACATGCCCACCACATGGCTGCTAAGTGCAATATGACACACCATTAGGTCAGACTGTGTGCACAGGAAAATCATTCATTTTTCCTTATTGCTACTGCACCAGGGGACTCAGTGCATTTGGACACATTGTCTTTACTTACACAATTCTTGGAGAGTTTCCTATTTTCCTTTTTAAAGAAGGACATCTGTCTTTCCCACATCATTCTGTTTTGAGCCCACTCCTTCCACTCCCTTTCTTGGGCTCCCAAACAGCAGCCAGAGGTTCCAAGTCAGTAGGAGTAGAATAAGGGGAGAGCACCAACCCAGCCTTTCTCCTGGCCAAGGGAGAAGGCAAGTCCTAATAAGTAGGGGAAAGAGAAAACTGAGAACCCCTCCTCCCCAGTCTGCTTAGAAGGCCAAATAAGAAAGAGTGCCTGCATATCCCTGCCATGATCAGACTTTAAGAAAGAAGGTGCCCCACCTAGTATCGTGGACTGGCCTAAGCACAGTAAATAAATAAAAATAACTTCTCCGGATGTAATTTCTAAAACTGCCTTTTGGCTAGTTTGAGATGACTCTTCTACCCTGAAAGGGAAGGAACTTCCATCCTTCTTTGTTATATACGATGCCTGGTCTAAAACACTGTCCTACCATCCTTGCAGATACCCCATGGGGCTTGTCTCCTTGGCTGCCCATGTGTAGGGGACCTGTTCCCCTACCTCATTTACAAAATTCTGGACAGAAAAAGAAAACTATCCAAAAACATTGCTGCTCAGTCAAAGAAGCTACAGAGGAGCTATGTAGCAGGTGGGAAAAGAGGAGCTTTTTAGGGAAGTTTCATGCTTTTAGGTACCTTTTTCTTCAGCCTTATTCAAAGCTAAGTTCTCAGAAATAATAGCCTCAGGCCTATCCTTAGAGGCCAGCATAGCACCTCAATCAATGGGTCACACTGGGATGGATAAACTACTGAAGAGTACTCCTCTACTTTCCCATCTTTTAACCAAACTCTCTCCATTCTCTTTTCACTCATCTTCCTCTACACCCATCTTTTAACCCTCTAACCCTGAATATCGAAGTAGCTCGACCCTAGGACACCTTCAGCAAAGGGAAGCCCCAGGTAGAGAGTAAAAAAAGAAGCAGAACTAGAAAAAGCAATGACAGCAACCAGCTCCAAGGAATGGTGTGAAAACTGCCAAAAGCCCCCTCAATTTTATGCGAGTTGGGCACAGCCCGCTGCTGTGCCCTGGTGTAAGCTTTTCTACAGTACAACCCAGGGTTAACACCACTGGGTGTGGGGAACAGGTTTTTGGTCTTCTGCAGTCAAGGGGTTAACTAACAGTGGGATCACTGCGGCCACGCAGAGAATTCATCATCACATAGGCTGCCGGGTAGGCAGGCCAGCCAGCAAGCAGGCTCAGTGAACAGAAAAAAAGGAAAAGGCAGGCTGGAAAAGGGAGAAGTGGAAAAGGAAAGCAGAAACTGTGGAACAAAGCATACAAGAGACCTAAAAGGATAAAGCTGGGGTCCTCCCAGTGCTTCCTTAGAGTTTGGTAAGAAGCACTACTTAAGCTTAAAACGTTTTTCAATGTGCATGTACCACCTTTCAAACAAGAATAACCAACATGGTTTGGGAATTTTTCAAGTCTCAGAGACTTTCTTTAAAAAAATCAGAGAAAATAGGGGCTGGGGATTTAGCTCAGCGGCAAAGCGCCTGCCTGGCAAGC